TGCAATACGTGCCCTCTCCGATACCCACCACCTGACTCCCCCAACCTCCCCCCCCCGCCCCTTCAGACCCCTCAGATTGTTTTTCAGAGTCCACAGTCTCTCGTGGTTCACCTCCCCTTCCAATTTCAGAGGTTTTAACAGAAAGTGCTCTGTTCTGAGAGAGTTAAAATGAGTTGCTCCTCCTGTTTGTTCTTCAGTGACGGCTTCGTTGAAGGAACGTGATGAATGAACAGAATCGAAGATACAATGACACACAGATGCTTTTATAGCCCATTCAACCATACGTGAAAACGTTTCCTTTTCATGTGCTTCATTTTTACTTCTTCAAAAGAAAAGTATGTTAGGAAACATTTTCAGTTTCAGCACATCTCTTGATACTTAAAAACTTTTCTGAGCCAGTTAGTTTTAGTATAAGAGGAATAAACGTCAAGAAGAATTCAGTTCTTCCCTTTGCTGTCCTCTTTCTACAAGCCGTCTGTTAGTTCCCCGGGAAGGACAATACAGGTATATTGAGACATTATTGTCCTTGAAAAATAACACAAGATAAAATCTTAGTAAACTTGTTTTGTCACACACTCCTGGTCATACTCTAATGCTTTTATTCCCCTTTATCGTTAATTATATCCGAACATGAATAATGACTGAACATTGTAAACAGATATTATTACTTTTAGAAAATGCCTGTAAATTGAAATATCCCAAGTCTGTTTTGTGAAGTATACTTTCTTTAATAGATAAGATTCCAATGGACTATAGAATATAAACTATAATATCTTTTGAAGGCCACTGTGAGTTTAATATAAACATTACCCTTGTACTACAATGAATAATTTAGATATTAAAAAGCAAGTATTATTGTATAGCAAAACTTTACCTGATACTGGCTGTAATTTTTTTGTTTTGAAATTATGTTCATTTTTGTCTAAATTGTTTGTTTCATTTCCCTTTCTCCTTCGATGTACTGGATTGGCGATAATTTTACCTTGTCCCTTGATGGCTTCTGACTGTAACCTTGAATATCAGTTGTATCTGTGCTGTAGAAACTCAGGGGTACACCCTAAGGAATACTGACTTGGACATCAGAGTCTTGATTTACTACATGCTCTCTGACTGCTTGTGACTTAGCCATTCAGCCTAATTCTTCTCATCTGTAAGTTGGGGCTGGTAATATACATTTAAGGCAGTGGTGAGGGCTACATGAGATTGAGTTGCATCTAACAGTGTGTGGCGAAGGTGTTTCCTAGTTCGCTAAATTTAATTTCTTAGGTCACTGCAGGCAGAAATGGAAATGCACATGGTTGGGTTTGGGTTTGGGTTTGGACTGCTCATGAACACATGCTGACTGAAGCTGTGGCCTTGATGTTTATCACTGATTATTTCTTTTTTGCTTTTCATTAAAAAGAAGAAGAAGAAGAATGAAACTGTGTAATTTTCAAGGTAATATAATATAGCTCTTAGCAGTATGGCTGAAAATATATGTGACTTAATCATCTACATTTGCAGATGAAAAGTTCCTGTCTCATCGGGTTATTTTCAAGACTCAAAGATATATAACAATTCAGATTGCTTAGCATATGCTAAGTGCTCAGTAGAAATAAGCTATTACTAGTAAAGATGTGACTTGTGATAGAGGTTGGGTACTCTGAATTTTGGCTGAAAGTCATATGTGTAAAACATTTTCTGGGTACTCCAATGTAGGCTACTTTTTATTTCATTTTTTAAGGTTAAGCTTTAGTGATTATAATTAACAATTAAAGTTGATAAATTTTGAGAATATATTTGAGCATATATTCATTTAAACAAATAATCTCTTTTAGATTTTTTATATGTAATCTTTAAATAAAAGATCCCCAAATTAGCAGATAGGAGCTTTTTGTTTTTAGAAAATTTTGAATGGATCTTATACTTTATCTAAATGTATACACACTGTCTGTGTGTATATTACCTTCAGAGACTTCAGAATCTAGAAGGAATTTTCTTTATCCCTCTTTCTGGGCGCTGGCCTTATATCATCTCAATAGTGCACTGGTCTAAGAACAGATGATAGTTTTTTCAATCTGCTGGTAAATATTTGCCTGTAACCCAGGCTTATGTCCAGCTGGCATGCACTCCTCTCCTACTAATTAAAAATACTGTACCTAGCAAATTTTAGCGTTTTTGCTTTGAAAAAAAAAAGGAAGGACCTAAAGGAGATTCACAGTTTTATAGGAATAATGCTCATTAGTTGGTAAACTTCCGACTCGGCTCTTTTTGGGAATCTGAGCATCAGGGTCACAAGGTAACTAACTAAGAAGCCAGCTCTCTCAGTTTATAGTTCAGAATATGAAGTTCACTGTAGTTAAGGTACTAGCCTAGGGATGGATAAGTTTTAACTTTCGTGTCAGCTCTGGTCATTTGGGATTTTGGCTTCTTGGAGGCTGTAGATTTGACATTCTTCAGTTAGATCAAAGTCACACAGACAGTTTGTGGCCAAGCTTGAACTAGAATCTAGTTCTTTTGGTTTCTAATCTAATTTTCATTTCTCCTGGTCATTTTATTCTCAAACTCACGGAAATCTTTATGTTGAATACATTTTTATAACCTTGTAATCCATTATGTAGGCATAAAAAGTTAAGATTCTGACATTTTTATTATATGCAAAGGAAGTGAACATTATCTTGTTAAAAATATCATGCTTATTATTCAATTTTGGAAAATGCAGACAAGATGTGTGTAAGAGAAATGTAGCTTCATCTGCATATCTTTTAAGTCTGACCCTTTGTTACTGAACTCTGTTTTACAAAAAGTATGCCATCAGCTTTTTTAAGGACATATTTCAACATGGATTAAATCTTTAGGAAATTAGCTTGAATTATTTTTAGGTAATTGCCAAATCATGCATATATCGGTATGTGTGTAGAAATATATTATCAATAGCTAAAAGTAATTTTGATGTTATGAGTAATATGACTGTATTTCATACTGTTTTTAAGTCTGGTGGGTGTAGTTTGTGTTTTTCCCTGGGTAACGTTGTTAGCACACCGTAAATATCTAACAATATGGTAACTCTTTCCCCATATAGTATTCACTTTAACTGGAAAAAATTTACTACTAATGCTGACATGGTACAATCAAATTATGTTTGATGCTAAGTGAAAGTGAGGTATTTGTTATAACATTGGCATTTGTATAGGAACAGATCTGTCTCTCTTCCTCTCTCTCTTTCACCTTCTTCCGGTCAGTCACCTGTTCTATGACATGCTCTGTTTTCATCTTACTGCCTTAGTCACCAGTGGTACTGAAGTTCTACATTCCCTTGAAACACAGGCTTTAAAGATGGTCTCAGAGCTATTCCCTTTACTTCTTTTATCCACTAGTTCTTTATAACCTGAAAAATTTAAACCATGATTACAACTTCACAGACTTTTCTCTGACTTGAAAATTGAGCCCTCCTTTATCTAGCAGTGTACTGATTATTTGGGAATATACAGTAACTCCTCTTAACAAGAAGACTAATATATTACTGGAGCTAGCATCGTTGTAAGGCAGGCCTGACATTGACCTCTGCCTATAGCTAGGGCAAGGCCAAGCTAGTCTCGTAAGTTTCAGGAGCTTGCTCATGCTCTTCCTCCCAAATGCTATCCTCTTTTTCTCTTATTCTTACATATGGCTCTTTATTCTGTAATAAGATATACAGCTTCTTTGCCAGAACCGTTTAGGGGGATAAGTTATGGGGAACTCATTCACATAAAAGTGTATAAACCACACAACTGTGTACATAACCAGCTCTCAACCAACGGGAGACAGAGCTGAGTAGCCAGGAGCACGAACTCTGAGTCAGACAGTCCTGGGCTTGTCTCTTCTTTCTTCTGAGACATTCTGTCACTTAGAACAAGTCAAAGTTCATCACTTCACTCAAACCACTGTTTCTTCACAGTGTAAAATAAAAATGATATTTCATCAACTGTGTTATTAGAAAATGAATAAGGGCGCCTGGGTGGCTCAGTGGGTTAAAGCCTCTGCCTTTGGCTCTGGTCATGATCTCAGGGTCCTGGGATCGAGCCCCGCATTGGGCTTTCTGCTCAGCGGGGAGCCTGCCTGCCCCCCTCTCTGTGGCTGCCTCTCTGCCTACTTGTGATCTTTGTCTGTCAAATAAATAAATAAAGTCTTTTTTAAAAAAAATGAATAAATGAGAAGCTGAGGCCCCTACAGGCAAATTTTGTGGGGATCATATCTTTGTCTTCCTGTTGACTTGTATTGGTTGAGGAAATGTAGAGACCCTGTTGGGGCTTATAGCTGTGTCCCATTATTTAGAAACATTTTTTGCTTGTTTTTCTTTGATGATGTTGTAAATGGATTCATCCTCATTAAACTGAGTATTTCTTACTCAGGGATTTCTGCCCTCAAGCATCTCTCACAGAAAAACAATATGGACATACAAGAAACAGTTAAACTACAAAGGTTGTTATATAAAGGTCATCCATGCTGTAGGATGTTAATGAAGGGAAAGAGCACACCGTGGGGGTCAAACACCATATAAATGACAACGCCACTTTTCTGTTTGATATGGCCATTGAGATAAATGGCATGAAAGTATGTTTGATACCAGGACTCAAGTTTAGTCCTGTAAAAAAGTCAGATCTTAAACATTTTGCAAGATTTGGTTTCATAGAAGAAATTCACATTTCTTTCAAAAGGACTTAATTTATTTGCCGTCAGTGCTTGAAAGACAGCTTGATTTCTTCACATTCCAGTGAGTGGAATTCATGGGGTTCCCCACACCTGTCCCTCAGGGCTCACATTTTCTGAGAACACATCCTACAGTAAATTTATGATCATCCAAGAAACCATTGTAGAGTAATGGGTGAAATACAAACTTTGTCATGTGTTCTTTAATTCTACATTGACTATTTAATTAAGCAAAAGTTTCTATGAATATGTTGGAACTCTCCTGAGTTTAATGCCAATTAGTTTATTTTGTTTTGGATGATTTTTAAAAATCTCACTCTTGTTCCTCATTTTTGTATAATCTTTCCCCCTTCATTTTGGGTGTCATCTTTGCACAAGGGCCAGGCTAATCCTCTCTGTATCATTCCAGTTTTAGCATATGTGCTGCCAAAGCACATACCCCTTCTTTTTGGAACATTTAGCTTGAACCTTAGTTCAGAAGAGTTTGTTATAATACTGTAATGTTTTACAGGTAACTCAGACTTGTATATGTGAGAGCTGCATGTCTGTTAACAAATATTTACTGATGTCTTGCTGTGTGCCAGGCACTGTGCTAGGTACTGGGGGTATAATAGTCATAACATACAAAAATCTCTGCTCTCATAGAGCTTACGGTCAGAAATTAAACAAAGTAATAAGTAAAATAGGTCATATTGTAATGAGACCAAATACTCTGGAGTAGTAAAGGGTGGTGGGTGATCCCAGGAACACGTGGGAAGGTTGCAATTCTAAATGTCAAGGTCATGAAGACCTCACTGAGAAGGTGACAGTTGAGTGAGCAAAGACCTGAACTGAGCAAGAGAGGAAACCACATGGATACATAACGTGGTGCGAGATTATTCTAGGCAGAGGAAACAGCAAGTGGGAGCATGTATGTGTAAAAAACAAACAGCAAGAAGGCCAGTGTGCCTGGGGGACAAGGAGCTGGGGAAAGGGTGGAGAGAGGAGAGACTGGTGAGGAGGGTTAGGGGGTGGAGAGGTTGGCTTTGTAGGGCCTGGCATGCCAGGATGACTCTCGCTTTTATTCTGACCCAAATGAGAGAGGTGTTAAGCAGCAAGATAGGAGCTGCTTTACCAAAGGCTTACTATGATTGCTATGCATTGAGAACAGATTATAAGGTGGCAAGGGCAAAAGCAGGGAGCTGAGTTAGGAGTCAGTTACAATAACCCAGGCATGAGAAGATGGTATCTGACTACTTACTGTGCGTTCAGTGCTGCCTGTATTGTACACAGAGACCAGTGCAAAGGGACCATTTCTGTTTATTTTTCCGTCTCGGCATTTTCCCCTTGTGGTTCAAATCTTACGTGAAAGGGAAAGGGAAATCGATGACATCCTTCACCTTGTTTCAGTCATTACTGTAAGAATATCATTCTTACGCGTGTGTGGCATTTTATGGTATCCAAGCATTCTTATATATGTCGCCACATCTAGCCCTTACTGTCTAAAGGGTGGCAGTCCCGAGGTGTATTGGACACGCCTAGAGTCAGGCAGCCGGTTCCTTCTCTTTTCGGGAGTGTGCACATTGGCTTCTGTGAATATAAGCTAAGCAATAACCAATAACCATCTATTCATGGAAGATGGGATTTGGGTACACTTAAAGAAATTTACTCAGCTGCTGACTCATTAAAGAGTATATCTATTGTGGGTGGTGGCTGGGATGTCAGGCTGAAAAAACCTCCTTGTTATTGGAATTGAGCCTGTAAATTGTTCAGAGGACGTTCTTCATCAAACAAGAACATGCATAATTTTCTCCTTTTAAGTTCACCATTTCTTTTTGCAGGATTCACATAGCTAAAGATTAAGTAGATAGAAGTATACTAGAACTAGAGGACCCTCCCCCCCAAACCGGGGGAATTATAATACCAAAAGATACTTAATTTTTGCTGAGCAGTAATACTAGGTACAGTGTTGCCTTGTGTATGTCAAAATATTTCAGGCAAAGATGGTTTTCATATAGGGAATTTAAATAACAAGGCCCATGACATTTTACTTTTAACCTACCAGATACATTGAATACAATTAAAATATTCAAGTTAATGTCAAAGAAAATAACATAAGTAACTTTTCTCTGTGATTTAAATTTAAATATATTTTCAGTGTTTCAGAGAAAGGATGAGGGAATTGTAGAAATTGTTCTCTGTTACAGTTGAGAAAATGGAGAGTGTGTTTTGTGTGATGTAACAGCGTTTGCCAGATTTGAATGAAAAAAATCTGAATGGAAAATATACCTTTGTAGTCAAAGGGAATAATATATCACTTGAATTGTGTTCCTCAAATTGCCATTTGTGTAGGAGATTGAATTTTTGAACATAACCGCAATAAAATGCAAAAAAGGCATGTTAATACAGTGATGACTGAAAAAACTTAAGTGCTCAGGATAGGAATTTGAATTTATGGTTCAAACAATTGTATTCCATTTCTTTCTTACAAATATGATTATTGGAAAGATTAATATTTTATGTTGAAAAAGTTACTTATTTGAATAAGCTCTCAATTATAATATTCCCCACTAATGATGGTTTTTTTTTCACTTTTCCCTTGAAATAGCGGTATGTGTAAAATGCAGTTGATGTTCTGGCTTTCGATCTGACAAGCTTTCACACTGCGTGATAGGTATAGCTTTTTCAAAATGTTCTTTTTGAACTTTTTGCTGGGTAATGGTTTCTGGATTAGCCCAGAGACTGGTGCCATGGGTAACATCTGAGGCGGTGATTCATGGTTCTCTAATCCTGTTCTTTTCTGTGTGGACCACTCTTCACAACTTTCTTCATCTCTCCTTTTACTTCTCTTTCTCACTGATTTCCTTCCTGTGTTTGACGATATTATCGAGTGCCTACTACCTGTCAGGCATTATTCGAGGGGCTGTAAATATAGCTCCTTGCTCTCTGGAAGCTTATCACCTTGTGAAAAAGGTGAAATAACTGAAAATAACTGAAATGACTGAAACGGGTGAAACCATTCACTATGAATACGCCCAAACGGCAAATGGTGAGAGAGCAGTACGGGCACGACGGTGGCCGGGTAGTGAAGGCCACTCACTTCATGAAGAAAGATGGTGCTGTTTCTTCCTTTTTGTGCCTTTTCCCCTTGATTCTGTCCCTGATGCTTAGTAGCCTGGCTGCCCTCACAACTTTTATGTACCCAGAGCTAAAGTCAATGCCATGTTATACCTCTTCCTCCACTCAGAGATCTGCAGATACAGATGGGCTGTCATTCCCTAATGTGCTTTCACTTTCTTACTTCTTAATTCACTAATCATTACGGATTTTAGGTGGCTTTCCCCTTCTGTCACCCCCTGGCTTCATCCTCTTAGTAACACACACATTGTATTTGCTGTTACTATAGACCTTCTCATGCTGTCTTGTAAGGTTTGTCTTCCCTCCCTGTATTATGCCACCCCCGACTGCCCCAGGTCGGCCTGACTTCAGTTTATCTTTGTTTTTCCAGAGGCTAACACAGTGTCTGAAGAAAATAAGTTTCAATAACTTACGTTGTGGTTTTTTTTAACCAAATTAATGAATTGTTTAATCTTAGAGTACTTGCTCTTAGAATAACTTCAAGCCTCAAATGTACTTCTCTTCTAAGATGTAACTGATTAAATGAAAGCATAAAATGTAATATATTAGGGGATTAATTTAAGAAACTAAATGCATTCTTGTCAATTAAATAAATGTAAAAGGTACATTAATAACTAGTTTCCTCTGTTTCACTTTTATATTTTTCATAGCTGAAGAGAGCAGGTTTCTAAACCACATTTAGAATTAATCAGAAGATACCTAAGAGGCATATAGAAAAGCGACATAATTATATATGTGGTTTTATATATGCACTGGAAAGTGAAATTAGATAAGTCATTTGAAGAGCTGTATGATTCATTATGATACAATTTATTATGTGGCTCACCTTGTACTATAACGTAACACTGTAAAAAATGCTATGACCCTAAAGAAATATTTTATGGGAGTGGTGTCATCATGCATTTACAGGAATCAGGACAGATACTTGTAAATTTTTATGGGAAAATTTTTAAACGTTTTAAAAAGAAGATTACATTTTGAATATTTAGTTACTTGTTTTTATTTGTTTGTCCACTCCTAAGGTAGAAAGAACTTGATTTTATCAAGCTCATTCTTAAGGTTTTAAAACTCTTTTCCAATAGTTAAAAAAATAAATGAGTAAGTATAATCAATTTACAAATCAGTGGTCATTGACTTTAAATGTCATGACATTATTGTATTTTGGTACAGCCTTTTTAAGTCTCCATATGTTTTTACCATCTTTAGGCCTACCAGTTTTAAAGAATGGTTATTAAGTTCTTTGGACATGAATTACTGTTCCCCAAAGGGAGAGAATATAAACATCACAAATACTTAAGTTTATTTATTTTTTTGTAAAAATAGTTACATTTAAAGATCCCTTTATTTTTTCCTTCTAAAATGTCAGTTAGTAGACAGTAAAATCATAAATTTCAGCTGAATATAATGGAGAGAAGGGAAGAAGAAAGGTGATCATGACTTAATGATTTCATAACTTTTGGTTTCCCCCTGTGTGGCAAGGAAACTTAGGTAAACTCGTTAAGTTTTAGTTGAATGATAATTCTTATTGGTTATAAGGGAAATGTAGCATCATTGTAATTATATTCTCAAGGTGGATGTTTGCTTTTGTTTTAATTCATTGTGAGTTCAAAGGGAAGAGTTGTTTCATAATGAGTTTCTGTCCATGATAGCAAATAAAAATAGGAAGAAAATAGTGAGCAGAGGGCAAAGTTGCAGCCTCTGTTTCATGTTCTAATCTGTTAGGATAACTTTTTTTGTTTCTTGTGAATGTTCTCAATTCTTAATTCAAAATCTCGATTAAGATGGAAGAGTTTCTGGTTTCTGGTTTTTCACCTTTAAATATTCTTTAACATAGAGAGCCAACACTGATGGATGGACTAATATGTAATAAATAGAGAATCAGAGGTCTAGAATCATCTTTGAAATATCACCTCCAACTCCCTGAAACTCAAAAGTATATACCCAAGTATTTGAACTCCTAAAGATCTTTAAAGAAAATTTCATTAGTTTTTTTATTGTCATATATATCATACATACAGGATCTTCTTTTTAAAATGTTTAAAAATTTTCCCATGAAAATTTACAAATATCTGTACTGATTGTTGTAAATGCATAAAAGAATAGCCATAAATTCCTATGGAACCATCATCCAGACCAAGAAATAGAACATTACTCTTGCCCCAGAAGTCCTCTCTATGTGAAGTTGTATTTACTGTCTGTCAAAACCAGTTCCAGTTTTCTGTAATCTAGAGAGATTACATGTAGAAACACTGACAACACCCGCCCCCCCCAGTTTCCAGGATTCATTATCGGAGAGAGTTAAATCCCGCAAACACCCT